CCCGGGCCCCCCCCGCCGCGGCCACGGCAAGGGCAGGGTCCCGGCTCTCCTTGCTGGAGGCTTTGGCGGCGCGGGGAGGACCCGGGCGCAGGGGTTAAGGCGACCGAGGTCTCGGGGCGGCGCCTGCAGCAGCGGGCGGGAGCGCTGCGGTGCCGGTGCCGGGGCTGGACCACAGGCGCCACCTCATCCGTGACAAGCACCGAAGCGCTGCTGCAGCTCTGCGGCACGGCCCTTGCTGGTGACAGCAAATACCAAACAGGAGACCGCCGCGCTTCTACTGAGATTAGCTGCCTGCAAATCTTATTTCATCATCTCTGGCAATTGGCAACTGCTCTGAGTGCTATGAATGTGTTTTATCCTACAATTTTTCCCCCTCCAGGCATCCATGTGAAGTTCTGTATTAGGACTAACATTAAAAATACTTGACCAAGGTTCGGCCGCTGCACAAGCGACGGCGGACACACCTGAGATTGCAACGCAGGTGCTAGGCTGCAAAAGCAGAGAGCAGTAAAGCTAAACAATGCAGAGCACGGGGAGGAATTTCTGTGGCACGGAATATTTTAACTAAATAAAATAAATAAATGAAAAGGCCACTAACAAAGCTGCACTGATCTTTATTCTGAGGCTTAATTTCTAATCTTTTCCTATCAACAAGGAAAAAAATAAGCATATCAACAAGCAAAGTGTAATTCAATCCATCTTGCAACCCTGACAATCGAAGAAAGAACTGGTGGGAGGCCCTGTGAGCAAAAAAAATCAATATTGCAGCTTTGTGCCGTGCAAACGCGAATACTGCCAAATAGCAGTGCTTAGGGTAAAATGAACTGTTTTGCTCCATTTTCTCCTCTCTGAACAAATGATTTTGAAAAGACAGCTTTTTCTGGAGCTATAAAACGTCAAGCAATAACTCCCTGTGCTTTAGGCAAGTGATTGGAATAAATACCCCTTGGCAACAGGTGCAATGACTTAGGACTGAAATTCATTTACATTCAGGAGATAATTCCTGATAAACAGATGCACTGCCACAGGATGCAAGCGTGACAGACCAGCGTTTGAATGCGACTGCCTGGTTTTGCATCATCCCAAAGGGTTTTTGATGCAAGTATGCGGTTCTGTCAATAATTACTGTTGTCACTGGTAACTTTGTATCTCTGATGCAACTGTGAGTCATTAATAACTCAAATACCGTATTTTCTAATGAAACTGTTCTCCACTTGCCTTACTGTACTGTGCATAAACCAGTTTTGTTAGGCTGCATTTCTAAAGTCGAAATCAACGTTTCTGCTAATTGCTTCAAGGCAAACTCCGACAGGGACGACGCTGCTCACGCTGTCGAAGCGCCAAGAGCGCCGCGGCTTCCCGTTTGCCCACGACCTTTCTGGGATGGGGCTGTGACTTCCAGCAGAAGCCAAACAGTAACTTGAACAAGAGCCCATTAACAAAGGCGGCATATGCTGTCTCCGATTCATTTGTGTTTGTATATATTCATCAAGTTTACTTTTTTTTTTCTTTTAAATAGAAGGAAAACACTTAATAAGGAAAAGAACATGGTTTCTGTCATGCCGACCATTTTGTTTATAAACAAGCTTCCCGGCAAACATATGCATCTTTCATGTTTTATCTGCTCACAAATTAGCTGAGTGCAGACTCTGCTGAAACAACAAAGTAACCTCCTTTTACAAAATTACAATTTTAAGAAATACTGTGATTTTTCTGGAAAAGGAAGGTAAAGGGGATTTTCAGTGGTAACATGCACCCTTTAATGCTTCATTGATCAATCCACGTATAAAAATACTCTTAGAAAAAAATCAAAATAAAATATCACAAACAAAAAGCTTTCCCTCTTATACTTTAATCTATGAAATGAAAACAACGGAGGTTCTATGACAGGAGTGTAACTCGGACCTGTGTTTCTCAAACACATTAAATCCACAGTAAGCTAAAAATTATTTGTGCAAGTTTGCAGTGCCTTATTTACCATCGTTCTACCTTGGTTCCTTATTAAGAAATAATCTGTCTTTAAAAAGATAACCTAAATTTGTCAAAGTGCAGAGAGAAGTTAATAATTCACAGCATTCTGCCCACTAGTATACTATCTTTTTGAGCTGTCAATAATAAAAGTGTGTGCAAAGTTTAGTAGCTAAAAGCAGAAAGGAACCACTACGTTTGAATGTTCAACCCATACAGAGGAAAAACAGTGGAATGTAAACAGGCTAACATCAGTTCTTGACATCAGAAGCAAGGAACCTTTGATTAAAACTTAAAGCACAGAGAAAGTCAACAAGGAAATATAAAATTATTTCAAAGAATGCAGCTACGGGAAGAACAGAGACTCCAAAACAAATCTTTGCAGAAATAAATATATATGTCTCAGCGAGCAGAGGAATAATGCTTCTTGCGTTATTTGGCTCTAAAAGAAAGGTCTTTTGAAAAGAGCACATCTTTTCAAGCAGAATGTTTACAGTTGTCTATTACACAATCTCTTTTATTTTACCAAATCATGAAACATGATGATTCACGTTCTACACAAGATGAAGTGATGCAGCTTGGGCAGCATTTCAATAATGTATGTTCAACACACGCAAAGCCTGATGATCAACACACGCAAAGCCTGATGAAAACTGCGTTTAGACCCTCTCCGTGTCTCGGTGAAGTGTGTACGTGCGCACGGAGAGGGGGTAGCACGGCAGCCGAACACACTCTGCCATCTGAAAAATCATGCAAATTCTCCACGCGGGCTCTGCAAAGTATTTATAATTTTGTATGAAAGCCTGCAGTTTCTAAAGAATCCCACAAACTATGTCAAGGGAGACTTTTCTCTCCATCTCTCAGCATTGTATATATATTTCACACGGACTAGCATGCTATTTTGTTAAACAGCTTTTAAATTATCCAATACTGGTCAACAGATCACCGCTGACTACTACAAAGATAGAGGCAATTTAAATGACAACTGTGCTTTTCTAATTCTATCTTTGAAGGGGGAAAAAAGTCGTTCTGGCAAGCATGTCTATT